TGCAACTGCAAGAGTGGTTGTGGTTCGCGATGCGGATGCAGGAAAGCGGGCTTGCAATGCTCTTTAGCTTGTGGCCAATGTAATGGGCAAGCTTGTCTCAATGCTCTACCATAACAGAGCGACATTAACGAAGATGGAACCTTTGACCCCGAAATCATGGAAGAACTTGAGACAAATGTCGTTGAAGACGATAATGAAGACCAGTTTGAAATTTACCAGCAGCCGGAAGACGACGATGAAGAGGAAGAAGATGATTAAAATTATAAATTGTAGTTTTTGTACCCTTTATTCCATTTTTTACTTTTAATAAAAATAAATGTATTGAATGATATTTTTTAATAAAAAGATTAATTCATAATTTATTTGTTTTTTTTTTTTTTCATCATGTAAGAAGTTATTAATATTAATTAGGTTAAAATTCACATATAATTCCTATATTTTCATTAACAATTCTGCAATTATATCGGCAAGTAAGTGTTGTTAAATAAATTAATACTGAATAAAAAGTGGATAGGTTAGGAAAAAAATGATAAAATATAATATAATAGTTAATAAAAATTGACAAATATTTATAATCATTGATTTTTTGATAGTTCATCAACTATATATGGCGCGTTTTCGACCGGAGGCACCGGTTGACCTGAAGTGATGCTGTGACCGCGCGTTCTCCGCCCTCTATCTCGAAAACGGTTCACCGTATCAAAAAATTTTTTAAACAAAATTTGTAGAGAATTTTGTATTCTACAATATTCTACAAATAGCAAAAAACCCATAGGAAATGAGATATTTACAAAAAAAAAGCGCAAAAAACCGATTTTTGTGACCTTTGACCTTGAAATTTAATAGTTGCGTACACCCTACCATATGTAGGTTTTAAGACAACTTTTAGGGTGTCAATATACAAGTATTTACAGACTTACAGCTGGGTATCTCGAATTCCGAGGTGAACTTACTATATAATGACTGGACTATTATTTCTGTTCATGGCTACCTAGCAAGCAAGTATGAACAAGTAAGTCAATATAGGTAACTTCGCCGATATGTCAACCAATAAAAATTTATATCAGAAGAAAGATAATTTAATTTTGAAAATAATCTTGCCTGCAAAAAACTGTTCATGGAATACTAATGCCTTTCTTTATTTAATTAAAAATAGCCATGAACACTTTTTGAATGGCAAGTTCCCATAGACGTGTTAATAAATCAATAAAATTTCATAAAACATATGTCTCATCTGGTCATCATATGGGTGAAGGTCGATCTCCCACGGTCTCTTAGACTACTCTATCATAATAACAATAGCAAAACATTAACAACTCAGTAAGCCAAATTGCAACTTTCAACATATAATTCCTCAACTTAGTTGACATCTTTGGGAGAATATTTAAACTAAATATTGTTACTTACAGTTCCCTCTGTATAGTAACCAAATTGAAATATCACTGTTTGTTACCAGCAATATACTTTCTGGTATTTTATCTTAAAAGTAAAGGGATAACCTTTTTATAGTTCGACTCGTATGGAAAATTTCGATTTCAGATGTCTCCCACGAATGTCAACAACCTAGTGAAAATCAAGCCTTGTATGATTAAAGATAAACAAATAGTGAACTCTTCTTCTGAGGAACTGTATATTTTTGGCAACAGCTAAATTCTCTGTTCCCATAACCTTCTGTGATAATTACAATCATTGTATCGCAATAATGATAAAGCTGTGTCTTGCATTGCAGTAGGCTGTTCTTGTTGTCTTTAGTACGTTTACAAAATAAAAAAAAAATAATGTAAATCGAGGCAGTTGTTTGTTTTCAACACTTACTGTTGTTACGATTTTAAATGTGGAGCGATATTTGTTTTGTAATAATTAAACTTCAGTGTACAAAATATGACGTAGCCCAAATAAACACATTGAAAAATTTGAATATTTTTTTATTTCAAACTATTCAGTGTCTTGACAAAAAATCCAATATAACCGACGATAGGGTTAATTTTTTTATTAGTGTCTAGCTGTTTTCATAGTCTACCACTGATTTGATTTATTACCACATATTTAAAACAACTTCGTGAATGGCTTTATTACAAGTCTTCTACACTTTTCCTCTGTGAAAATTGACGGAAACGCGCAGAGTTTTCTACTGCGCAACACCTAAACATGTCGATTGTACGTTGTTATGTAATACAATGACCACTAGACTGGGCCAAAAAAATTGACTATTTTTTTTTTTTAAATATATCGAGAATGTCATTCAGAATGACAAAAAAAAATTTCGTGAAAATTTAAGCCCTTAATATTAATTTTAAGAGGTCTATCGTCGCTATTTTTTATTTTTAGTCATAATTTGATGTTTTACGTTAGAACTGTCAAAAAATTAGAATGCAAAAATTCTTTATCACTTATTTTGATACAAAATTAAATTCTCTACAAAAAAGGTTTGATTGAAAATTTTTGTCAGACGAGCCGTTTCCGAGTAATTGAGCTTAATAAATCGATGTATTTTTTCGATTTGCCCTTTTTATTTTGAAATTCTGTAACTAATGAACCAATGAATATTTAAAAAAGCTCATGTCGGATTCTTCAAGGGAATTTCATGTTCTACAAAAAAGGTCTCTTAACATTTTTGCCTAAATGCAATTTTTCAAAAGTTATTCACGATTGAAACCGAAGAAAAAATTGAAATTTTAAATTTTCCGTTCTTAACTCAATTTTTTTCACTTAACGGAAGAAATTCACTTTTTCGATCATTATTAAACATTATTCGTCACAAATCTCTCAATGTCTATCATTATTTCAACCAAATTATTACGAAAATATATCAATTTCACAATAAATATCAATTATTTTTCAACAAAAGCGTAGTTTTCTTATCTTTAAGTAATTTTTGGGTACACAGACGGTTCAAAAACCAAGGAAGGAGCCGGTGCTGGAATCTATGGACCTAAGTCGAAATCAACGATTTCACTAAGCTTAGGAAAATATGCAACAGTGTTCCAGGCTGAGCTAATAGCCATACAACACTGTGCAAGAGAAATATTAAATCAGCAAGTATCAGGCAAAACTATTGTCATATACTCTGATAGCCAAGCAGCTCTAAAGGCAATTCTCTCACCAGAAATCAAATCACGACTGGTGAAAGACTGTCTAGAAGACCTGACAGAGCTAAGTAGTCAAAATAAGGTGACCTTAGCCTGGGTTCCAGGCCATGAGGGATATCAGGGCAACGAAAAGGCCGACGAATTAGCCCGAGAAGGCTCAGATAAGGCCATGACAGGCCCTGAACCCTTTTGTGGAGTCGCTAAGGCATTGTGCAAGGCATCCATTAAACAATGGATGCAAAAAGAGTCTCAGGAATGGTGGAACAACTATCCAAGACTGAGACAGGCCAAACAGTTCATCAAGGAACCATCGGCCAAGTTTACGAAAGACCTACTGGATCAAAAACGTCAAATCGTTAGGATAACAGTAGGCCTTCTTACTGGACACTGTCGCCTCAAAAGGCACATGAGTGTCATAAATCCAGCAGAAGAAGCAACTTTGTGCAGGTTCTGTGAAGAAGAAGAGGAAACATCATTCCACGTCCTGTGCCAATGTGAAGGCTTGGCTGGAATGAGGTTTCTAACATTGGGCGAAGAAAAGCCAATTGCATGCAACTACATGCGGGAGCCACTGTCAAAGCTACTAAGTCTAATAAAAAAGACCAGGCTAGACGACATACTCTAAAACATACGGAGTCCCACAATAGATCTGAAAAGGTCGCGGTGGACAAGGACAAATAACGTCCAACTCCTAATCTAATCTAGATATGGACTATTTAATTCAGGCGCTCTTTTCGTTTTAGCGCTATTTCATCTGTATCTGTAAAGTGGGTTACCCCCTACGGCATTAGGCCTCACTAGTCCCATTGTGCATCCTCCTAAGATGATAGGTACCTCTTAGCTCGTGAGCCAGCCTACAGATTTAATGTAATTGACAAAGTCGCCAAGAGGTGCTTATCTTATATCGGCCAGTGTTAGTCGATACTCGCCCAACACAAATCTTTTAATAAATGAGAGCGTCAAGCAATCGTAAAGGATATGCTCAATCATCTCATCTTCTTGTTCGCAACCTCTGCAGAGTGCGGATTCTGATAGCCCTATGCTTCCGTACTTGGCAATTACCAGTCAGAAGGCCTGTGACTAGGCGCAGATTCTCTCTAGTCATAGTCAAGTATTTGTTAGCTGCAGTGTTGTTAGGATAATTTAAGAGCTCCTTGGATGCCTTGTTTTGTTTTAGAACCGTCGGAGTAGATATGAATCGTACCTGCCACTTCCGGCTCTTCTATTTTTTCTGTTACAACTTTATATGACTTATGGAAGATATATCTCGGTGAGATGGAGTCCATGTTCGCTTAAAATAGTGGGAGCGTATCGAGCGCTTCCTGCCAAAAGCGACGTCTCGCCTCACCAATCCTACATCAGGTTCTATTTCAACCGTGCGGAGGCGTATCATTATCGTCAGAGCAACCTTCTTGATGTAAATATCAAGGAAAGTGAGACTGAGAATAATTTCCGTGGCTTTTGTCGGTATTTCGATAAAATGGCGTTGAATAAAATATATTTTAAATCAATTTTCATTCGATAAAATGTATTTTCGATCAAATTTTTGCCACTTGTCAGATACACTGTGACTTACAATATCTATGGAGTCAAAATCTCGGCATCTATAACAACCTATACAATCATACCTTTCCAAAGTTAAGGATTTAGAGTGGCTCGAAGCTTGGAAGATCGCCCTCTTCCATCGGTTATGTTCCCAAGTATACTGCTGTTAGATTCTGTATATAGTTCCACATATTCAGTCCGAATATGAATGGAGCTTCCGTCCTCCTCTGTACTAATTGTCTTCTACTAGTCCACGAAGGATGTTTGACTCCCTTTCCTCGTTAGACTAGCTGCAATTTCGTTTCCTTCGCCCCGCTGTGTTTTGAGAAAAATATCATTAGTATTTAAACAAGTAAAACAAATTTTAAAAAATAAAAATTTATTACATACAAAAATTAGACTTATAAGGATTAAAATTTCATAAAAAATAAATAGTTACATAGTACGTCAGATCCATCCATCACTTATTATTTTCCTCTTGTAAATACTTCCTCCTGTCATTATCCCCAGGCGTTATATGATCAGTTTTACTATCAATCATAAATAATCTTTGCAAACATCCTTTCCTGGGCAAATTTTTAGCCACAATAAGTGCTCTTCTGTGGTTCATAACCTCTTCTTTGTTCCTTAATAACTTACAACAAGCAAACATTAAGAATACAAACCATGAAAACGCAATTGTGACAATCATAACGATCAGCAAACATATAAATTGCCACAGAATATGTACGGTCTTCTTATTACTTTCAAAATTCTCCTTTTTCGCTATTATAGGACATGCTACTGTTCCAAAGATCGAACTAACGAAATGCGATGCTATAAAGTTGCAGTTGTCTTCTAAAGATGTGTTGTGAATCAGTATCGAGAAGAAAAAGAAGAAGATTGAACAAATCGCGGCTATGGCACTACATTCTACGAAATCGTATATATCTACTCCAGCCGCTATAGATATAAGTCCAGCTATACCACCTTGGAGACAACGTATGACCGACCAGTAGTTGTATATTCGTCTGCAGATGCACATGTTTAACAAACTGGTGATGAATACACCTAAAATATTTATCATCGATTTTATATTGAGTCCGCTTGTGCTTTAGATACCTGAAACTACCTGTACTAAAAGCGGCAACCATGTTTAAGATAATAAGAGCTATGTAGTTGTCTGGCATCTTAGTAGCCTCGTATCCTTGTGACGGTAAGTTGTAGGCGGCATAACCTAAAATTATTAGTACATAGCCAACTTGCGTAAGTCCAGCGTATTCACGTGCTACAGAACGTTCGTCCAAATCCTTTATCCTCAAAAGCCGTCTACCCAAAAACGATGCGCCTAAAAGTGTGAAATATTTGTGAATTCCTTCTGATATATTTTAAAGATTTACCTATAGCTCCAGTCAAACTGCTAGACAAATGTATAACCAAATCACCGGCGTAATCCTTAACAGACACCTTGGTGGCCATAAAGTCGAAGTTTTTCATCCATCCCTCCTCGTTCCATATCCAGTGCGCTAGTACGGGTTGATAAAACCCGCAATACAGCAGACTAGTAAACAACGAAGTGACCAGGTGACATCTGCCTACAAGAAAGCAAGAAATCTGACCAGAACCCAAAAGAACAGCAGACATTCCTGGAAATAAAAAAATAGCTCAATACTATTGTTCTAAAAATTAACAAAAATGACACTGCCCTTCTTGCAACAAAGTTCAGTCAATTTTGTACGTTTTTTTTTTTGAAAACAATGAGGATTATATCCATGTTAGAAAATGATGCAACATAGAGAGTATGTGTTTTATATTATTATGGTGTATATAAATATTTTAATATCTTTATAATTTTAGAGCAAAAAGGTCTCCAAATACTGACAAGATATGCATGAGAATTGATTTAAAAAATTAAAACCAGAAGCGCAACCAATATATATAGTTCAAATAGTAAATATATATTGCTGGCAAGGTAAAAAAATTGGTTCTGCTTTGTTAATGTTGGAATGAATAGTAAATGGCATTCCCATGTGTAGGAAAGGATGTACTGTCGATTTATAGATCGGTATCGTCTTATACCTAGAAAAATTGATCGTTCTTTGCTGCATGTGCAAAATCTGTTTTACAGAGGAAACGAGACTAGTAAATAGAAGCATAATAGGAACAAAAACCCAATATCTACATACAAATTCAAAAGTGCCTGAAATAAACTTAATTTAATACAACTAGAGCCATCTATAAAGATTACATGCAAGTATAGTTATTGATCGGTGAAATAAGGGCATAATTCTGTTTTAAAATTGTTGCAATAGAATCGAAGTTTCGATCTACGTTCAGGAGATGACGATAGAGCAGATCAGTTCAAAAATGTAATACAGTTAGAGCCATCTTTCACGTTTTAATAAAAGTTATTGATGGGCAATATCAGTGCAGATTTTTGTTTTAAAATGGTTGCCATAAAATCTCCATTAGTGTGTTTAAATATATAATCGATTAACGCTTTAGTTTGAATACGGTAAATTTAATACTAAACGGACCATGTCTTCTCCACTCAAAACGAAACCGGCTGTTAAAGACAGTCGAGACTTGTGAACATCGTAAATTGTTGTAATTTACTTTGTAGTTTAATTTTAAGTAATAATTGGCACTGAACTTGATTTATGTTCTGCAAGTAAATTAAAATGTGTCATCTGGCGCCCAACTTGTAACAAACTAAATAGTTTTTCTTTATCAGTTAACCTCAAAATGTTGTCACAATAGCTTTGGCCTCTTTTTTCTTTTTAATTTGTGTCATAAAATACTTAATAGTAGTATGTGTTGGCCTTTTTATACAATTGTTTACAATTCTTTTATTTTAAAAAGTACACAATCATCGAAAAAGAGTAAATTTGTCAGATATCCTATCAAATAAGGTCCTCTGTATAAATTTATTTCGCTTGAAATGAAACACCAAGATAGAGCATTGACGTCATTTATGACTACTTGTACTAACTGGTCTATAATTTTATATATACCACATTAAATTTGATATTTGCAGTTGTAATATTTGGTAGATAATAAGTAATTGTTACGTTAGAATTAGGACAAAAAATGTTTCTAAGTTAGGCTTTCGAAAAATCACATGAGTTTAGTGTCACTTTGTATTTAATAAGAAATGAAACTCTTTATCTGTATATGATGTTTTTATTTAGTAATAAAAAAGGCATTTAAAGTTTTTTTTTATATTTGGTACCTATCTATTGTGCTTACCCATAATGCCATCATCCATTTTTGTAAAATTAAACGTTTGGGAGTACCCCAAAAAGCCTTTCACTGTCGAATCACCAAAAGTAAGCATGTACCCAATACCTATGTAGGATATAATCGCAATAGCCACTTCAAAAATATTGAAAAATATGATTCTGTAAACGTTTTCCACTGGTATACTCCCTATTTGTATAAGAAGGAATCCCATTCTGGATAATAAAACTAGAAAAACAATAAAAAGGTATTATATAAAGTGCTCCTTATTGTCATTTTTGGAAATCCAAATTTTGAAAAAATTCGTATACACGTAAAACCATAGAAAAACTGGCTCTACCTTTGTGTGATTTTATGGAATAATTCGATCATTATTAAATGAGGAATTAGGAAAAAAAAGTTAACCCTTATAGCTGGGGAGCAACTGAGTTCACCCCTTAATTGCTCGTGCTTTCCTTTATATGTACCCCAATTTTCATCAAGATCGGAGACAAAAACATTTTTTGTCAAAAAATTTGGAAGGCTATACCCTTTCGATTTTTTTGAAAAAATAAAAATTGTTTAAATTTGCATACGGATAGAGGGTCACATGTAGATCTTAGAAATAGACTCAGTTTTTTCTAACAGCAATATTAAAAAAGCTATTGCCAAAATAAAAATTTTCGATATCTCCTCGCGTTTCTATTATCCTGATACAAAGTTCCGAGTTCGAAAAGATCCAATTTTGTCTGCAAAATTTTGGTATGAGGATAGCAGAAACGCGACAAGGTATTTGACTTATTTTTAAATGCGAATAACTAGTAAACGGCTCAAGATAGGGACAAGCGGCATAGAGCATTTTAAATCATCCGTCCGGCTCTACCTTTGTGTGAATTTATGGAATAATTCGATCATTATTAACTGAGGAATTAAGAAAAAAAAGTTAACCCTTATAGCTGGGGAGCAACTGAGTTCAGCCCTTAATTGCTCGTGCTTTCCTTTATATGTACCCCCATTTTCATCAAGATCGGACACAAAAACATTTTTTGTCAAAAAATTTGGAAGGCTATACCCTTTCGATTTTTTTGAAAAAATAAAAATTGTTTAAATTTGCATACGGATAGAGGGTCACATGTAGATCTTAGAAATTGACTCAGTTTTTTTCTAACAGCAATATTAAAAAAGCTATTGCCAAAATAAAAATTTTCGATATCTCCTCGCGTTTCTATTATCCTGATACAAAGTTCCGAGTTCGAAAAGATCCAATTTTGTCTGCAAAATTTTGGTATGAGGATAGCAGAAACGCGACAAGGTATTTGACTTATTTTTAAATGCGCATAACTAGTAAACGGCTCAAGATAGGGACAAGCGGCATAGAGCATTTTAAACCATCCGTCCGGCTCTACCTTTGTGTGAATTTATGGAATAATTCGAACATTATTAACTGAGGAATTAAGAAAAAAAGTTAACCCTTATAGCTGGGGAGCAACTGAGTTTACCCCTTAATTGCTCGTGCTTTCCTTTATATGTACCCCAATTTTCATCAAGATCGGACACAAAAACATTTTTTGTCAAAAAATTTGGAAGGCTATACCCTTTCGATTTTTTTGAAAAAATAAAAATTGTTTAAATTTGCATACGGATAGAGGGTCACATGTAGATCTTAGAAATTGACTCAGTTTTTTTCTAACAGCAATATTAAAAAAGCTATTGCCAAAATAAAAATTTTCGATATCTCCTCGCGTTTCTATTATCCTGATACAAAGTTCCGAGTTCGAAAAGATCCAATTTTGTCTGCAAAATTTTGGTATGAGGATAGCAGAAACGCGACAAGGTATTTGACTTATTTTTAAATGCGCATAACTAGTAAACGGCTCAAGATAGGGACAAGCGGCATAGAGCATTTTAAACCATCCGTCCGGCTCTACCTTTGTGTGAATTTATGGAATAATTCGAACATTATTAACTGAGGAATTAAGAAAAAAAAGTTAACCCTTATAGCTGGGGAGCAACTGAGTTTACCCCTTAATTGCTCGTGCTTTCCTTTATATGTACCCCAATTTTCATCAAGATCGGACACAAAAACATTTTTTGTCAAAAAATTTGGAAGGCACCCTTTCGATTTTTTTGAAAAAATAAAAATTGTTTAAATTTGCATACGGATAGAGGGTCACATGTAGATCTTAGAAATTGACTCAGTTTTTTTCTAACAGCAATATTAAAAAAGCTATTGCCAAAATAAAAATTTTCGATATCTCCTCGCGTTTCTATTATCCTGATACAAAGTTCCGAGTTCGAAAAGATCCAATTTTGTCTGCAAAATTTTGGTATGAGGATAGCAGAAACGCGACAAGGTATTTGACTTATTTTTAAATGCGAATAACTAGTAAACGGCTCAAGATAGGGACAAGCGGCATAGAGCATTTTAAACCATCCGTCCGGCTCTACCTTTGTGTGAATTTATGGAATAATTCGATCATTATTAACTGAGGAATTAAGAAAAAAAAGTTAACCCTTATAGCTGGGGAGCAACTGAGTTCACCCCTTAATTGCTCGTGCTTTCTTTTATATGTACCCCAATTTTCATCAAGATCGGACACAAAAACATTTTTTGTCAAAAAATTTGGAAGGCTATACCCTTTCGATTTTTTTGAAAAAATAAAAATTGTTTAAATTTGCATACGGATAGAGGGTCACATGTAGATCTTAGAAATTGACTCAGTTTTTTTCTAACAGCAATATTAAAAAAGCTATTGCCAAAATAAAAATTTTCGATATCTCCTCGCGTTTCTATTATCCTGATACAAAGTTCCGAGTTCGAAAAGATCCAATTTTGTCTGCAAAATTTTGGTATGAGGATAGCAGAAACGCGACAAGGTATTTGACTTATTTTTAAATGCGCATAACTAGTAAACGGCTCAAGATAGGGACAAGCGGCATAGAGCATTTTAAACCATCCGTCCGGCTCTACCTTTGTGTGAATTTATGGAATAATTCGAACATTATTAACTGAGGAATTAAGAAAAAAAAGTTAACCCTTATAGCTGGGGAGCAACTGAGTTTACCCCTTAATTGCTCGTGCTTTCCTTTATATGTACCCCAATTTTCATCAAGATCGGACACAAAAACATTTTTTGTCAAAAAATTTGGAAGGCTATACCCTTTCGATTTTTTTGAAAAAATAAAAATTGTTTAAATTTGCATACGGATAGAGGGTCACATGTAGATCTTAGAAATTGACTCAGTTTTTTTCTAACAGCAATATTAAAAAAGCTATTGCCAAAATAAAAATTTTCGATATCTCCTCGCGTTTCTATTATCCTGATACAAAGTTCCGAGTTCGAAAAGATCCAATTTTGTCTGCAAAATTTTGGTATGAGGATAGCAGAAACGCGACAAGGTATTTGACTTATTTTTAAATGCGAATAACTAGTAAACGGCTCAAAATAGAGACAAGCGGCATAGAGCATTTTAAACCATCCGTCCGGCTCTACCTTTGTGTGAATTTATGGAATAATTCGATCATTATTAACTGAGGAATTAAGAAAAAAAAGTTAACCCTTATAGCTGGGGAGCAACTGAGTTCACCCCTTAATTGCTCGTGCTTTCCTTTATATGTACCCCAATTTTCATCAAGATCGGAGACAAAAACATTTTTTGTCAAAAAATTTGGAAGGCACCCTTTCGATTTTTTTGAAAAAATAAAAATTGTTTAAATTTGCATACGGATAGAGGGTCACATGTAGATCTTAGAAATTGACTCAGTTTTTTTCTAACAGCAATATTAAAAAAGCTATTGCCAAAATAAAAATTTTCGATATCTCCTCGCGTTTCTATTATCCTGATACAAAGTTCCGAGTTCGAAAAGATCCAATTTTGTCTGCAAAATTTTGGTATGAGGATAGCAGAAACGCGACAAGGTATTTGACTTATTTTTAAATGCGCATAACTAGTAAACGGCTCAAGATAGGGACAAGCGGCATAGAGCATTTTAAACCATCCGTCCGGCTCTACCTTTGTGTGAATTTATGGAATAATTCGAACATTATTAACTGAGGAATTAAGAAAAAAAAGTTAACCCTTATAGCTGGGGAGCAACTGAGTTTACCCCTTAATTGCTCGTGCTTTCCTTTATATGTACCCCAATTTTCATCAAGATCGGACACAAAAACATTTTTTGTCAAAAAATTTGGAAGGCACCCTTTCGATTTTTTTGAAAAAATAAAAATTGTTTAAATTTGCATACGGATAGAGGGTCACATGTAGATCTTAGAAATTGACTCAGTTTTTTTCTAACAGCAATATTAAAAAAGCTATTGCCAAAATAAAAATTTTCGATATCTCCTCGCGTTTCTATTATCCTGATACAAAGTTCCGAGTTCGAAAAGATCCAATTTTGTCTGCAAAATTTTGGTATGAGGATAGCAGAAACGCGACAAGGTATTTGACTTATTTTTAAATGCGAATAACTAGTAAACGGCTCAAGATAGGGACAAGCGGCATAGAGCATTTTAAACCATCCGTCCGGCTCTACCTTTGTGTGAATTTATGGAATAATTCGATCATTATTAACTGAGGAATTAAGAAAAAAAAGTTAACCCTTATAGCTGGGGAGCAACTGAGTTCACCCCTTAATTGCTCGTGCTTTCTTTTATATGTACCCCAATTTTCATCAAGATCGGACACAAAAACATTTTTTGTCAAAAAATTTGGAAGGCACCCTTTCGATTTTTTTGAAAAAATAAAAATTGTTTAAATTTGCATACGGATAGAGGGTCACATGTAGATCTTAGAAATTGACTCAGTTTTTTTCTAACAGCAATATTAAAAAAGCTATTGCCAAAATAAAAATTTTCGATATCTCCTCGCGTTTCTATTATCCTGATACAAAGTTCCGAGTTCGAAAAGATCCAATTTTGTCTGCAAAATTTTGGTATGAGGATAGCAGAAACGCGACAAGGTATTTGACTTATTTTTAAATGCGAATAACTAGTAAACGGCTCAAGATAGGGACAAGCGGCATAGAGCATTTTAAACCATCCGTCCGGCTCTACCTTTGTGTGAATTTATGGAATAATTCGATCATTATTAACTGAGGAATTAAGAAAAAAAGTTAACCCTTATAGCTGGGGAGCAACTGAGTTCACCCCTTAATTGCTCGTGCTTTCTTTTATATGTACCCCAATTTTCATCAAGATCGGACACAAAAACATTTTTTGTCAAAAAATTTGGAAGGCTATACCCTTTCG